ACAAGGACAGAAAGAGGGGAAAAAGGAGGGGAAAAGGAGGAGAAAAAAAAAAAAAAAGAGAAAGAAAAAAGCTCCGTCTCCGGCGCTGAAATCGGTTTAGCCGCCGCAAAGCCCGCGCCGCGCAGCCGAGGAGCGCAAGCGACCCACGCCGGAAAGCGCCGGGAACGCCGCTCCCACGGACCCACGGCGGGGCACGGGGGTTTTGCAGGCAGCGCTTGATCTGATAAAGAAAATCAAAGACACATTCGCGCTGTTTCTCCACAGACACCACCACCACCCCACTCCCCCAATAACCTTTCTCCTGGACATGCCAGGGGAGCTAGGAGACATTGTGCTGACTGGTGGTTTTTTTTTTCTGAAATAGTAAAAAATAAATTGCATCTAAATTTCAGCTGCCGCATTTGAACTGTAAGTTAATGCTGTGAAATTAAAAATAACAATAATAATAATAATGTTTGGGGGGTTAATTTTTTTTTCCTCGTGCTGGAAAAAAAAAATCCCCTCGGATTCATGCTGTAAACCTGAATTGTTAGAAAATAAACCGAATGTCACAGCAACCCCCTGGCAAAATCAAACAGAAATAAACTTCGTGGGAGAAAAAAAAAATCTACGGCTTCTTTGCTAAATAATACAAAGTAAACATTTTATTTAGGCATATTTTTGCATGCACTGGTTAAGTCGAAATCAATTGAGCTGCAGCCACCTTTAATTTTGGCCGGTAGCATTTCCATTTGGTTTAATTGCACATGTCTAATATTTAAACGTATTAAACCATGTTTCCCTGCTTACGGTAGTGTCATATACATTTCTCACCTTTTAGGTTCTGGCTCACAGGAGCCCCTGCGACTTTGACAGCTGTCGCTTTGGCTGCACAGGAGACGAATCGCCCTCCTTTTGGTGCCAGAAGAAGCAGGAAATTAGCCAGGTTGCAAGTTGAAAATCTGCCACGCCAGTGCTTTGAATCCAATATGCCACACCTTCCAGCGGGGGAACTGGAAATTGCCATCCCGGATCTGTGTTCTAGGCGGCTGCTTATGCCGAACCTCCGCACACTTTGTTCACTATTGCCTTACAAAGAACAAATGAAATGGGGATTGAAAGCCAGAGAGATCCGAAGCAGGACAGAGCTCAGCAAAAGAATGCGGCTCTATTCTCGCAAGGGAAATTATAAAAAAGTTCATGTTCACGGTTACCATCCACATGACCGACAACGACCAATGGAAAAACCGAACAACTCATAAAGTTGTATTGCAAAGTTGTAAATTTTCATAAACAACAACGGATTTATGGCCTTTTCCTCATCACTAAGAAGAGGCAGGTCTTAGAGAGGCGCCATCTTACCACAGAGGCAGCCCTGGAGTTTTTTAAAAGACCTGGAGTTTGTACTAATTTTATTAAAATTACAATTAGTACGTTGACCGGGAACGGAGTGTAGTAGAAAAAGGGAACTTCTGCGCAAACGATGCTCTGGTTCTACCTGTATTTACCCGGCTGAATAAAGGGACTTTTCGAGCGATCTTTTTTTTTTTTTTTTTTTTTTAATTTTTCACAAAGATTGAAAATATTAGATCTCCTTGACAATACGTGGTACCCGGCAAAAATGATATATTTTCTAAAGCAGGGCGATTTTTCCCCTTTTTAATGCTACCCTGTTGCCCCCCGACCCCGAAAGCCGCACGCACGAACCACACACGGACCCGACCAGATCATTTACGCTTGGAACTTTCGCATCGCACTTTCTGTTCATTACAAAATATTATTTCGCTGCATGTGATTTCGGCGTGATCGCCGGCCGCCTGGACTGGGGTTATGATTGCAAGAGGACACGGGAACACGGTGGAAGGAAGCCCTCCCATAAAGAAGGCTTTCCGCTTTATTAATCAACTGCGCTAGGGAAAAAAAAAAAAATCACGAAGTCAAGGTAGAGAAATTGACTGATTCCTATCAATTCATCACCTTGGATTCTTTTTTTTTAATTTTTCACAAAGATTGAAAATATTAGATCTCCTTGACAATACGTGGTACCCGGCAAAAATGATATATTTTCTAAAGCAGGGCGATTTTTCCCCTTTTTAATGCTACCCTGTTGCCCCCCGACCCCGAAAGCCGCACGCACGAACCACACACGGACCCGACCAGATCATTTACGCTTGGAACTTTCGCATCGCACTTTCTGTTCATTACAAAGATTGAAAATATTAGATCTCCTTGACAATACGTGGTACCCGGCAAAAATGATATATTTTCTAAAGCAGGGCGATTTTTCCCCTTTTTAATGCTACCCTGTTGCCCCCCGACCCCGAAAGCCGCACGCACGAACCACACACGGACCCGACCAGATCATTTACGCTTGGAACTTTCGCATCGCACTTTCTGTTCATTACAAAATATTATTTCGCTGCATGTGATTTCGGCGTGATCGCCGGCCGCCTGGACTGGGGTTATGATTGCAAGAGGACACGGGAACACGGTGGAAGGAAGCCCTCCCATAAAGAAGGCTTTCCGCTTTATTAATCAACTGCGCTAGGGAAAAAAAAAAAATCACGAAGTCAAGGTAGAGAAATTGACTGATTCCTATCAATTCATCACCTTGGATTCTTTTTCCTTCTGATTACGAAAAAAAAAAGATTTATATGGCCTAATTTCTTTATTTGTCTGTGTAAATTATTTTTTGATGCTTCCTTAAACTTTCCCTAATAAAGAAACACAATTCATTGTCAACAAGCATATTTATTTTCTGTGTAACATAAAACACATTTATCGTGGGAGATACTTGAACACGGTATCACTTCCAAAGAGAGTTCACAGACATTATTTTTTTTTTCCACTTCCAATACTTACACGGCATATCCAAATGTTCACAACGAACACATCGAAACACATTGTAACATACAATTTTTGAATAAACTTTAGCCAAACCTTCAAGACGGATTTATACAGAGTTCTTAACAATACATCATGCTACAAAGTTTCCAAATTAATTACATACTTCCCAATTTATGACATGATCTTACAAATGAGCTCCAAGACGAATATAAATGACAAAAAAAAAAAATCGTTCAAATATACAGTATCTGCTATTGTAGGAAAATTCACGGTATTACATATTAACACGTTCGATAATCAGGACAAACAGTTTTGGGTTGGTTTTTTTTTTTAAGGTGGTTACATGGTCATTTAAATTCACTTTTCAAAGAACACTTTCCGCTATATTAAGTAAGATCAACCTAGACTAAGAAAACGGCCTTTAGCAGAGGCAGCCGAAGGTAGAAGCCAACGGCAGATATTAAACCGCTTTGTACAATATTGGCGTGTTTGCTTCCTCACTCGGAATAGTAAAGAATCGAGAACAAAGATATATTGCAGCATATGGTTTTCATTTATAATTGCTTTGGAATAAATATATTATTTTAAATTTAAATATATTCAGTATTTTCGGTACCAAATTCTATACCAAAGCTATTGATGCGTGCTTTTCGAACGACTACACTTACATTTCTAAAAGCATTTTGCGATTCACATTAGTAATGTTATCCTCTTTTGACTACTAAAATACAGTATACTTTCGAAGATAGGTAGGCGGAGCAAGATACATAGGTAGTCTGGAAAATAGGTAGTACAAATCATTGCTGTAGATTGTAGTGGTTTGTGGAACATCTTTTTCCCCCCCCTTACTTGCTGTTTAAGCTTTTGTTAGTGTAGCTGTTAGTTATGATACTTTTCTAACAATAATAAAAAAAAAAGAAAGAAAAAAAAGACAAGTGCAGAGCTACTTATTCAAAATTAGGTAGTTTTTCTTTATATGAGCCTAATGCACTTTTCCCCTCACACATGATTGGGACTATTGAGTCAGGTAGTTACTTCGGAAGGTCACGGTTTACTATCTGTGCAAGCAGCAGTTCTCCCACTGAAATGTCCCCTGGACAAACCCACCCAGGTTTGGGTGAACGGAAAAACAAATGATTGTAGGATGCTCTTATGAGATACTACCGAAAGGTTCAGCACAGGGCAGGTTTGGGGAGTACGGGAGGGTGGAGAGAAGGCTGGAAAACCACCCCAAGAAACGTTTTCATGTTCGCAAACGCTCGCTTGCAAGATGATTATTAAAGGGAACAGATTATTATTTTTTTTAAATAAAAACAGTGAGTCTCTCTTTTTTTTTTTTTTTTTCCTTTGAAGGGAGCTTTTCCAACTGTCATGTGCATACATTATACTGAGAAATCGCTTCCTCGAGTGGGACTCCTTAGTCCTCCTCCTCTTCGTCTTCTTCCACTTTCTCGACGGAGGCTGCTGCTGACGTGGGCTCGTTGGGAGCCGGGGTGCTGGAGCTCTCTTCCTTGTGCTCCTTCTTCCACTTCATCCTCCGGTTCTGGAACCAGATTTTGATCTGCCTCTCCGTCAGGCAGAGAGCATGGGCGATCTCTATCCGCCGCCGCCGAGTCAGATAACGATTGAAGTGGAATTCCTTCTCCAGCTCCAGCGTCTGGTAGCGGGTGTAGGTCTGGCGCCCTCGCTTCCTATCTGGACCTGAAAGCAGACACACACGGCCCGGAGTGAGGCAAGAAGAGATGTGGAAAGTTTTTCCTTTTCTTTTTTTTTTTTCCTTATTATTATTATTTTAAAAATAAGTAAACAAACAAACACAAAGCGGCAGAGCGAGAGTGAATGATCCCCTTCTCTCACTTCCAACCGCCCCCCCACTTTGCCCTAACAAAGACATTTCGGCCACACGACCTGTCCTGCTCAGGCAGGGCAAAAATTAAGTTGCTCGAGACCTAGAAAAAGTGGAGAGAAAGCATTCAGGAGAGGAGGTGAGGGAGGAAATTGCTTTTGGGAGGAGGAACTTTCCCCCCAGGCGATGTATTTCCCTAAAACCTTCCAGACCTTCGCGTTTCGCAAGGGGAAATAAAAAGCTGGAAGGCTGGGCTGTATTTATTTTATTTTAATGTCGGGGGCTCCCTCCACCCCCCACCCCACCCCGCCTGGATCGTAAACAATACATCGCATTTAGCTCCGACGAGAGTGGCACGTCTCGGCAACGTGGGCTGGCAAAGTCCTCAGCAGCCCGTCCCCCGCTCCTGAACGCCCCTCTCCCCTCCGCCTTCCCCAGCGAGCGGGGTTTTTTTGCCCAACTTCGGCAGAGGGCAGGGGAGACGCTTACCCGTGGGGGCTCTGGGAGCCCGCAGCCAACTCTCCACATTTCTATAGCAAACAGCGCAAATCAACTCAATGCTAAAATTCCATAGCAAATGGAGTTAAATAAATTTACGAGGCTAGAACCCATTAATTGGGCAATAAAAAGTTTTATGATACTCATTTACATACAATGCCACGGGCTTTCTACGCAATGGCGCCTCGGCTATAATTAAAACCATAAAGGCTGTGCTGACAGTAATTCTGGCGACACGCTTTGCCTGGCTGCCACGGCTCCGAGCCCTCTCCGTTCGCCCCTACCTGAAGACCTCATCCAGGGGTATATCCGGAAATTAGGCTCAGCCTGGTTGTGCAGGTTGCTTTCCTCCGCTTTCTCACAGCTGGGTTTGGTTAGCTCATTGCAGAGGACGGGAATGTTCTGATCAAAAGAGGAACAATGCAGGTTGTAGGCATCAGAGCCCAGGCTGTATCCGGAAGAGAACGGGCTTTGATATATGGTACTGTTCACATTGTACAAGCCGGGCATGGAGGAGGCGAAGGCACCCGCGCCTGGTCCATAGCCGCTTCTCTGGGAGTTGCTTGCAAAGGAGCAAGAAGTAGGCTCTGCATTTTGGAAAAGAGAAGCCCCCGCCGTATATTTGCTAAAAAGCGCATTCACATAATACGAAGAGCTCATAATTTTGACCTGTGATTTGTTGTCCGGCAGGCTTCAGTGTCGGTTTTACGAGGTAGCGTGATATATGATAACATTACACCCCCAGATTTACACCAAACCCCATTTTCTTTTGCACTGTGCTGCCTGGAGCACGTGACCGGTCATATGACGCCGCC